GCCTCTCTTCCCCCCCCCCCCGCCCCCGCTTTGCAGCTGGATGGTGCTGGCCCCAGATGCAAACAGAGGGTGAGCAACTGGTGGATCTGTGCTGTAGGAGGCTGGGAAGCTCCCCACTCTGAACTAGGGGTATAGCTTGGGGAAAGTGGAGAAGGGAACATCTCCATTTTGGGTAAAGTGCTGGGGGCTTAAGCCTTTTCTTTGCAGGGAACAGAGTTCAGAGGCCAAGAAGAAGCTCCCACAGACTTGAATGAGACTAATAGCCCTTCTTGGGTCTTGGGGCTCAGCAGGAAGCACTCAGTGGCCTGGGGCTGGGCCGAATCAGGTGCCTCAGAGAACTTTCTCCATGTTGCACATGTTGGTTCCTTAGTGGGAGTTGGGGCAGGGGAGAATATGAAGCCACCGGAATCCATTCTTTGGCCTGTTCCCCCAGCCCACAGCCTGCTTGCTCCAGCAAGCCTGTCCTTGCAAACTTACTCAGCTTCTGGATCCTCTTCACTATTGCACCTTACGCCCTGCCCACCCTGAGTTTCCCCATGTCCCAGCCTCCCAAGAACTTGGTGAAATTGGGTGGGCATTCCTCACGGTGGAGGGCCTTTGGGTTATGCAAGTGAATGCCACTGATGGAGGAATGAATGAGAGAGGGAGGGAAAGAGAAGCAGAGAACCATGAGCAAGATGCCTGGGAATTTGCAGAGGCAAGGCCGAGGTGGGTCTGTGATAACCGTGCAAGGTGGGCGGGTTCCGTGTGGTTTAATTTGGACAGTCCTGTCCAGGATAACTTTCCTCCCCTCTGTGTTCTCTGATGGATCTCTCCTCGGGCCCTCTGTCTGGACGCAAGATCCCCCCTTCTCCATCTTCCCCAAAGCACAATCCAAAATCCGCTCGCTGGACAAGCAAGATCGGCAGCACCAGGATCTTAGCTGTGCAGAATCCACAGAACACGGTCCCAAGCACTGGTGGCTGCAGGACCATAGCAGAGGGTGGAGTTTTGTTGCCTGGAAGATGAAGGGACAAAAAGCCCGTGGTGGCAGTTTCATTTTCGGCCCCAGAGCCAGGATGATGTGGATGCTAAACTCACTGTGAGGAGACCCTGATGGTAGAGGAAGCTCCAGGGGCCTCTCTGGCTCTTCTGGGGGGGACAGACAGCTGTGGGTCCATGATGTGACCAGGCCATCAGGAACCCAGGTGGCCTGCGTGGAGGCAGAGGCTGCCAGGGAAAGAGAAAGACCTCTGGTTAGGGGCGGGTGGGGTAGGCCAGTTGGAACAGGAACTGAGCTAGCCTGGGAACAGATGCCCATCAGCTGGGAGAAAACCGGTTTTGGGGAAGTGGAGGCTGGTGTGAAGTCTCTGGTCCAGGTCTCTATCCAGTGCCTGTGGAGGTGGGGCCCAGGAGGAACAGTGGTTAGGTCTGCAGTTCCCTGAGTATGTCTACAGCATTGTAGAAAGTTACAAGACCTTCCAACTCTCAGACGCCTCTGTGAACACAGTCAAGGTTGCTCACAGCGCTGACACCCGTTCTGGGGCTGTTGGGGAAAGGCTCCTGGTGGGGAATTTACTTTCACATCCCTGACCTTCCTGGTTCTGCAGCAGAGCTCTGGGCCACCCTGCAGGCCCTACGGTCTCAGTGGCTGGGGCAGAGACCTTCCATGGACAACCCCCTCTTGATCCTGAGAATTTGTGAGCTCCCTGCCCCCACATCCCCACAGCTCTGACTTCCAAGTAAGACCCTGCTTCTACCTGTGCTCTGTGGGCAGAAGGCCTTCTCGGGGAAGAGCCAGGAGGGCTGATGAGGATAAAGAGAAGTCAGAAGAGGGCCCTCCCTGGTAGTGCATTGGCTTAAAGCTCAGCACTATGAAGCTATCACAGCCCCTGTAGCACGAGTTCGATCCCCGGCCAGGGAGTTGACCTGTGTGGTGCAGCAGACCTCTCCTGACCCACCTGCTGCTTCTCTCAGCAGTGTGTCTCAGTACATCTGCCTCTTCTGCTCCCCACTCTGTCTCTGGTGAATCCTCTCACCCCCTGAACCTCTGGCTTGTACCCCAGTTCTGTATGCATAAATAAATAAACATTAAAAAAAAGAAAAGAAAAGAAAAGAAACTGTCCTTTGTCTGGAATGGGAAGGAAACCCAGTGCTGATCCCGAGAAGACCAGGCCAGAGGTGTCACATGGCCAATGTCAGTTCCCTGAGGCCAACAGATGCAGGCACCTTAGGGTTAGGGCCACACAGAGAATCAGATGGAGGCGAGCATCAGTTCTCTCATCAGCCAAAGGGAGAAGACAAAGACCATCTCGCTTTTTTTAATTGTAAGCTTTTAGTTTTTTAAAAAGATTTATTTATTTATGCATACAGAATTGGGGTACAGGCCAGAGGTGCCGGGGGTGAGAGGATTCACTAGAGGCAAGTGGGGAGCAGAACAGGCAGATCTACTGAAATACACAGCTGAGGGGAGCAGTGGGTAAGACAGGAAAAGTCTGCTGCCATGTGGGTCAGCTTCCTGGCTGGGGATCGAACTCATGCTGCAGTGGCTGTGGACAGCTTCATGTTGCTGCACAAGCTCCCTTAAACCACCAGGGAGGCCTTGTGTAACTTTTAATTATAAACATGTAGATATGAAATAGCAGGAAAATTTGCAAAGAAAATAAAACTTCTGTGGTTTTTTTAGCAGAGCAGAATTTTCTAATCATGGTTCTGATGTCACAAACTATAAGGTAGGTTGTACCACATATTAATTCAAACTTGAACATTATAAAATGCCATGTGCAATATTTAAAAGCAAGTTGCAGTTGCGACTGAGGATCTCCTTGCTACTCGGCAGATAAAGGGTTATTGGACTTCATATAAATATGTCTTTTAAATAATAGAAAAAAATGAGAAGGGCTAAGTGCAGGTAATTGTCTACAGAAGAAATCTAAATGAATAATTTTAATAAAATAGATTCAAAATGGGTATTATTAAAATAAATGCAAAACCAATTTTCTCATCAGATTGACACAAGGTAAAATAACTGGTGATAAGTCGGGTTGGGGAAATCTTAGGGAAAAGGCAATTGCATAATTGCTGTTACCTTTCTGAAAGGCAGCGTGGTAAGATTAGTCAAATCTATTTTAAGAGAGAGATCTTTGACGCAGCAGTTCTAAATCTAGGAGCTGAAAACAGGCGCAATGGTTATTGGTGCAGTATTGTTTTAGTTTTTAAACCTCCATCAAAATAATGCATATACATAGCTTTCAACTTTGTGGCTCCAAAAACTGTATGTTCTGAATTCATATTATTAAAAATGCAGCAGTTTTATGTCCTAATACTCTGCTCCCCAATTCCCTTTCCCCTCAGGGAATCAGTTTTGAACACCTGCGAGGACCGTGCTTACGATGCTGTGTCATTTCAGGTGTTGACTCTTAACTTGTGCTATGAAAGATGAGGCTTGTCCCTCCTTCAGGCCCTGTCCTGCCTGTCTCCTTTCCCTTCATGTTCAAGATCCAGTCAACTGTGGTTATCAGTAGAAGGGATTTGTATATTTTCTATCTCATGACCGTGTGTGTATTTTTTTATAGCCCAGTCATACAAATGATTATGGTTACATTTCTTTTTGGTACAACTTTTTGTTTCCCATGAAGTTGTGAATGGTCTCTTAGAAAACTTACCTTTTCCTATGTACTGTTTGTTCATCTCTAAACTCTACCCCAAAGTGTAACTTTATCTTACTATGTTCCTCAGGTCAGCTCATATGCTGCTTTGTCCATGAGCACAGCCCTGGTCATCCGAGGTCCTGCTGGGCTCTCGGAGGTCTTCAAAACAGGCACCTCTGGCCATTTCCCATCTCTCTGTGCTGGGCACACCCTCAATCTCCTTCACCCCCATCCAGGGCTGAAAGTGCCCCTTCTCCATCCTGTGTTTAACTTTCTTTGTTTACTCTCACTGTAGACAAACTGGGGCCTTTAGCTCATTTAGGCACTCTGTAGTATTTTGTAAATAAAATGTTATCGTAACATTACTAGAAAAGATCGTGCTTACTGAAATAAGTCAGAAAGAAAAAGAAAAATACCGGGTGGTTTCAGTCATAGCAGGAGTGTAAGGGATCAGTAATTATAATATTATAGTTATATTGATTATAATTATATATTATATAATCATATATTATATAATTATATATTCTATATTATATAATTATAAAGTATATAATATATATAAACAACATCAACATCTGCAAGGAAAAACGAGAGCATTAGCAGCTGGGGTAGGTTTCGTCAGAAAAGGATCTTCTGAAGTGAAGGAAGGCGTGTGTTGCTGTGACTGATGGGTAAAGAGTACCTTTCTGCACAGATTGGGAGTGCTGGCACAATAAACAGACCCAGTATAGTGGTCTGCACAAATATCACTTGTTCTTGCTTTTGTGACGTCCATCGTAGGGCAGGGTGATGGCCCATCCAGTGTTTGAAGGGCGCTGATTTTAAGGACCTGCACCTCAACCCATGCTTCTCTGGTTGTACAGCTGGGGAGAGGGCTGAGAAGCTGAGGGGGACTTAAAGGTTCTGCCTGAAGTAGAACACGTCACTTCTGCTCACATCCCACGTGCCGACTGGATCCTCAAGGAGCTGAGTGATGATCCTTCCATTGGTTCAGAGGAAATGCTGAATCAAATACTGGTCAGTAGTTGGTCAGTCTACAAGAGATGCACTTAATCACTGAGTTCTAATAAGGAAGCTGACTGAATGATACCTGTAAATTCATGTGATGTAAATGCTTGTTTTGGGTCAGTTTTCCATGCAACTATTTTTTTGTATATGGATCTGATTTATTTGACTAATGTCTCCAGTTTTGTTTTCTTTTGGACAATGCTTTGTGACCGATTACTATTTCCTTTGAATATACAGAAACTACGAAAGGTGACAATAAAAGGTACCATGAAAATGGTGATAAAGGTTAAAAAGGGGATTTTTTTAATAGGATGTGTGTCACTGCAAAAAGGGGAGGAGAGTACCATGAGTGTGGGAGTGAGTTCGCTGCCTCACTTCTTCCATATTCTGACATCTCAGAAACCTGGGACTACAAGTCCCAGCATGCCATGACCAGTACTTCCTGAGTGGGGGAGGGGAGCCGCTGGGAAGGAGGAAGGCACAAGGCTGGTGTATGTACTGCAGTGCCATGAAGTAGGAAGGAGAGACATGTGGAGAGGTTGCTTCTGGGAATTTGAGGCTTTGGCAGGTAGGCAGGATGATGGCAACAGCCATCTTGATCTCATGGTAGATTATATGGTATGTTGTGAATTTTGGGGTTTCTCCTTCTGTCCCATCTCTTTGGGACCTGCCTGAACCCTTTTTGTGATTTCCCCATTGGGAGGTGCCTGGGAATCCTGGAAAACTTTGCACCTCAGTTGCCCTGTTCTGTGCTCAGCATCATTGGCTAGACATTTTCCCAAGAGGGGGTGGGTGATTTTTGGAGCTTGATTTGGTATCTTTTTTGAAATCTATCCCTTCCCACCCTGACTCTCTCACTGATTAAAGATCTTGGAGCACATGAAGAATCTTTATTTATTTATTTATTTATTTTTGCCTTTTGTGCAAATGGCTGGACTGTTAGAATGGGCAAATTTTTTTTTTTTTTGGTTCTCTTTCTTAACAGTTTGGGACCTCTGGGTGACCCTCAATTTTGCCTTGTTTCAATTCTAACTAGACACCCTAGGCCAGGATGTCTCTGGTCTTCTTGGTGACATGAGGGTTGTAAGGTCTAATCAGGCCTCAGCTACTCCCCCGAGCCTCCATCTGTGCTCAGCCAGTCCTCTGCTGGGGTGTGGGAGGCAAGCAGACAGTCTGGGCTCTGGAAAGATGAAGCAACACAGAGAAGTGAGTGCTAGGTGGAGGGTGTTTGTGGGCAGGGGAAATCATGCAGCAGCCTTAGTTCCTGGGCCTGGGCCTGGGTAGGACGAGATGTTTCTAACAGTTGCAGATTCTCCTGGGGGGGGCCCACTCTTGGCTACCCACAAAACCCGCCCTATAGGCCTCATTCTTACCCAATGCAGGCCTTTTCTTTCTCAATCTTGCACCTCAGTGTGTGGAGGTTCTGGGCAGGGTCAGGAGGAACTCCTGGATCCTTCTGTCTCAGAACCACTTGTGCCCCCACTGTGTACCTCCAAACAAAGAAGCCAGCATGGCCTGGATGGCCTCCCTCCTGCTGCTGATCCTGCTGCTCCTAGCTTTAGGTGAGGGCAGGGGGTGGACCCAGTGACAGAGCATGGGCGGAAGGAGAGTTGGAGGTGGAAGGACATGTGAGGGGGGTCTGGGGTGGGGGTGGGGGGGCCCATGGGAAAGTGAAGAGAGCTGGAGCAGGAAGGCTGTCTTGGGCCAGGCTGGAGGTGTGGCAGTGCCCACTGCTAGCCTGATCTGAGGGCTTTCCCCCTAGGCTCCTGGGCCAGAAACTACCCTCATGAGGTGGTCTGGGCCGTGCAAGAACAGGCAGTTTCTGTGAAATGTCCATCCCCTCTCCAGAACGGTAAGTACCTGAACAAAACCTGGTGTTGGCAGACAGAATCAGGTTCTTGTGTCACTTTAGTCACCAGCTCTGGGCCCCAGATAATGGCCCAGAGTTCTTCATACTTGCTCTGGGACAACCCTGCGGGTGGCTTCTTCATTATCACCATGTTGGAAGTCCGGAAGAATGACATCGGACACTACTGGTGTGGGACATTGAGTGGAGAATCTGTTTCTGTCATCAAAAACATCACCCTGATGATGTACCCAGGTGAGATTTTTGTTCTGGGAGGGGGCTTTCCTGGGGTGTCAGGGAAGGAAAGCCACACCCCCTTCCCCAGCCTCCATCCCCTCAGACCCACCAACTGTCTGCTCCTCTTACACTGACTCCCAGATTTAAGCTGCCACCTCCATTCCTGAGTGTCCTGAACTGAGAGGCAGAAGCGACCCTCATGCCCACTGGGTGTAGACCACAGCCTACAGGCTACTGGCTCAGGCACACCAGCTTCTCCCACCCTGGGCCTGCCCCTAGCCCCTCTCTACCCTGGGCCTGGGTCTGCAGCAGACCAGAAGGCTGAGGGCCTCAGATGCTGAAACAACAAGTCTTTGGACTGACAGTGTCTGTGTGTGCCCACAGGGGCCCTCCTGAGCTCCCCCTGCCCTCAGGGACTGGCTGTCAGGCTGGGCTCTCTGATCAGGCTCCAGCCTCTGCCTCTGTCTCACCAGCTCTGGGAGAAGTGCCCTCCCCTGGGGCCCAGACAGTCCTGGCCTGAGGAGCCCTGAGGGACTGGCTGTGGCCCTTCCCCCTCCTCCTCTCAGGGCTCCCCAGGGCTTTGGGGCTGACCCCCGTACCCCCTGGGGACGCTGGGCGCTGCTGCCTTCCCTGTGTTGTCATTGGTCACACTTGCTTTTCCAGTGCCGACATTCTCCACCAGAGTCTCTGAGTGCAGGTAGGTCTGGGGTGCCAGCAGAAGGAAGGGGTGTTAGCAGGGGCTGGGCAGGTGAGTGGTGTGGCCTTTGCTCAGGAAGGAGGAAAACCTGAGGTCCGGTTTCTGAAAGAGGTGTCCAGGCCTCAGCTCATTTGGGCTGGGCTGGGCTGGGTTGGGCTGGGCAGGACTGGGCTGGGCAAGGCTGGCCAGGAGAGAACAGGGCAGGGCAAGTCTGGGCTGGGCTGGGCTGAAGGAGTCATGCTGAGCTCCCCCAGGATGGAGCCCAGGAGTAGTACCTGTCAGCGGTGAAGGGGAAGGCCTCTCAGTGCTGCTGGTGTCCTGAGGCCCCAGCTACCTCAGAACATAAGCCAGACCGGACCTAGGCCTTCTGTCTCCTGGGCCAGGGGTTTCTCATGGACGCCTCTGTGACCTCTGCCTGCCTCACCACGCTGGCCCACTGCACGCCCGGGAATCCCTTTCCCCCTGCCTTTCCTTGGGTATCAAAGACCTTGTGCTCCCAGCCACGGGCTCTCTGCCTACTGCCCCCTACTGGTCACCCAAAGAAAGACAATGGCCGCATTTATTGTTGGCCCCTCCCTCCCTCAGCCTGGGTCCTGGGGCCCCCAGCTCTTATTCCAGGAGATCCTTTTGGCTGATCCCAGTGAATTTCGGGTGGCTCTAGTGTAGATACAGTTTTCCAACAGGGACTGCTCCTCCCATCCCCAGCCCTGCCCTACTTCTTTCTCCCTCATTGGGGTCTTTCTCTCCCCCCCCTCCAGTTTGCCTGCCAACAATTTCCTGGTGTTTCTGTTGTTTGGACTTCTCCTTGTGACCAAAGTCATCGTGCTCACGGCTCTCCTCATCTTCTTGTCCTATCGAACATGGGTGAGTAGGACCTGGGCTCGGCTTGGGGGCCATGTTTGAGCCACCATTTCCTTTGGTCTTCCACTGTGAGCCCTCGGCAGTCTTGAAGCTGGCCTCAGGTGACCTATGACCCACACTCGAGGATGCACAGAGACCTGAAACACACATGCTCCAACGCTTCCATGAGAGACTAGACCTGCACCCCAAAGTCTGTTCTGGGGTGTCCCCAAGCCCCAGGGGGTCACCAGAGTTGGTGTTATTTTGTGTCCCTTCAGGGTGACAGAACATGGTGAGAAGATTGTAGCAGAAGTTAGAGACACGGGCCCAGAGGGTTAGGGAAAGAGAAGGCCAACATGGCCATGTTACAGGGCACCCCAGAGTGAACTGGGCCACCTGTCTGTGGGGCCTCACCCACGTGCTTAAAATTCAGTTGTACTGCAGGTGCACACAACAGGGTCAAAATGGGTTTATTTTCAAAAGGGGAAAAGAAAAGGAAACAACAACTGGAATATCTTACTGGCTCTGCTGACTGGGAGCTCTGGTAACAAACAATTAAAAACCCCAAGTCACAGGGTCCTGAGAGCTGTTTCCTGAGCTAGAGAGCAAGAGACAAAATGGTGCCCTATTTATCCCCCAAAGTCCCAGCATGCCTGCTTAGCTCCACCCTTGGGTCCTCACAGTTCTCTCTGGTACTGCTGGGAGTTGTAGTTTCCAATCACTGGAGTAGGGGGTGGAGTCCAGAAAGCTGGAGTAGGGGGTGGGGTGGAGTCCACAAAATTCTGCAGAGTTCCTTTAGGGCATCCTTCCCCTTGACAGTCAGGGGACAGAGGGACTTTGCATTCTGAACCCCTCCTTCGCATTTCACAGAGGTACTTCGGTGCTGCAGGACTAGTGGTAACAGCTGCCCCCAACTCTGTCAAGATGCCGGGGCCCAAGGGCACTGCCTCCTGAACCTGGGGTACCCCGCCTCCTCTGGCTCCTCTGGGACCATGGAAGGAAAAGGCTGTCCCAGTGCCTCTGGAAGACACCTCCCAGGGCCAGAAGCCACCCTGTGATGGTGCCTCTCGACACAGTGCCTAGGACCCCAGATTACCTTCTCCAACACCACGTCTCCAAAGCCGGGACCCACCACCTATGGGACTCTCTTTGTATATCGGAGCCACCCCTTTTCTCTCCTGGCTCCCCTCGATGGTACCAAACCCCGCTTCAGGCATCTTCTCTCCTGCCCTCCGCCCCTCCAGTGCAAGACCCTTGGTTCCCAGGCTGCCAGTGTCCACTTCAGTCAGCTTTGGCTCCTTTTTCTCCTGCTGGAAGAATTTACCTTAGTTGATACTACCTAAAAATGTAACATTGGCTATTTCCAACAATGGATGTGAATTTATAAACATGACAATGGAGGAAAAATATTTTCATCTTTGGCAGTCAAAAGGCTGAAAACATTTAGTACATAAGTGTCTCTTATAAATAAGAAGCAGGCAAACATTTCAATTTTTTTAAAGGGCTAGAGATATGAATATTGACTCGTTATAGAATTAAGAAAAAAGGTGTATGAATTTGTGTTCAAAGAAATGAGTATGTGATCAAAGAAATCTGAAATGAAGTGAGACCTGTGTTTTACCCGTCAGTTCAAAAAAAGGTTAAAATAAATGAAAGTCATATTCTGTGCTGGAGAGGGGGAAGGAGAGAGGAATTCTCATGAATTCTTGGAAGGTTATAATTGATAACCTCCTCCTGGAGGGCAGTGTGGTGATGAATTAAAAGGCAGAAGAAGTAATTTATTCATCCACTCTACCACTGATGGACATTTATGCTGTTTCTAATTTTTGGCTGCTGTGAATAAGTCTGTTATGAACATTCAAATAAAAAGGAAAGAACGGAAAGTCAACCAAAGAAATGACTAGAATATTCTGTAAGTACATTTCTGAGTAATTTTCTAAGTAATTTCAAAGTAATTTGATGAGTGTGCGATAATTGTTGTTTTAAGAAGTCAATTACCCAAGACACAAAGGCAACCCCACTCTACCTTCTCCTTGTTCTCATTCCCACATCAAGTACATTTCGTATCTTTCCTCAGTTTATTCTGGTGCTTACCTCTATACTTTTGGGTGAGAAAAAATGTAAAACTTGTATTGCCATTTGCTGATTTCCTGGTTTTAAATATTATCCATTCATCTATGAATGAAGACAAAAATCCCATCATTTGACACTTCACCCTGCCTCCTCTGTCTCTATATTTTTGGGTGAGAAAAAAAGTAAAACTTGTACTGCCAAATTTCCTGGTTTTAATATTATCCATTCATCTATGAATGAAGATGAAAATCCCATCTTTTGACACTTCCCCCTGCCTCCTCGCTTTCTATCCCTAAACTCACAATATAGTCAAACCAAAACTCTCCATCAGATGGATATTCATAATTGATATGTCCTTTTGCTGTGAATATTTTGTATAGATAGCCATGGAATGGGTGTATTTTGATTATATTTTTTTACTATAATTTTTATTACCTCTTAAATTGCTATATTTTTCATTTACTTTATGTTATTATATGAGCACATAGAACTCATTTCTAGCCTCTTTACCAAAGTGTAAGTTTTACTGAAGAGGTGCAAACACCTTAGGTTACTGGTTGGGTGGCTCCTGGAAGCCCTGACACCCCTGGGAGCCCTGGCATGCCTCTGTACCCAGCTGTGGTCTGCCCTGGGTTCTCCCTGAGCCTGCTGAGAGCTATCCTGGCTTGTCTCCACACCATCTCCTTTTCTCACAGTTTTAGAGGCTAGAAGCCTGGGATGAAGGTATCAACCAGGCTGAATTGTTCTGAGGCTTTAAAACAGTGCCAGGTGGGGACAAGCCAGTGTTTGTGGTTTCTTACCCGTGCACCTACAATTGCAAGACACTGCCGAGGTTCAGGGTGCAACAATAGGGTGTGTTAACAAAGGCGAGATTGGGAAAAAGGAAAACATTTCTAAGGCCCCAGTGGCTGGCTGTTCTACCCCAGGTAGTGTCTGCAGGGCCCAGGAGTGCAAAACATAGGCTGTTTGCATGAAATGGTGCTGTCCCTTTGACAAGAGCCTGGAACTGGTGGCACACCTGGCCCGGGGTCCCACTCGCTGTGGCGGCTGGTGGTGCTCACAGGTGGCAGCACAGAAGTTCTCAGCAGCAGTCTGAAGCCAGACTGCACAGCAACAGATGCTGAATCAGACAATGCCAGGCTCAACAGAACCAGGAGGTGGTGCTGGACAGTCACAAGTGGTAGACAGCTCTCGGAGATGGCCCAACACAGGTCAGCAGTGCTGGTCAGCACTGGTCACTAGGACACAGTCCCAGAGACATCAGATGTACAACTCTTTGAGAGCTGCTGGAATAAGCCATAGAGACACTAGGCCTAGGTCAACAATGCTCTTGGCAGGCCCTGTGAGAAGCGTGGCAGGGGGCAGGTGCAGTGGCCAGATCTCTGTATTCTATGGGAATTCTGAAAATCTGTGAAGGGTCTGATGAATGAGCCTGCAGCTACTTGGTAAATAAGTCAAGCAGGTTACACCTCAAGGTCTGACTTTCAAGCCTGATTGGGCCATGTATATCTTAGCTGTTTGGTACTGGCTCAGCACCAATCAGATTGCTTCATTTGCAATCCTCAGTAGTCTCAAAATCCTTACCTGGCACTGGTGAGAGCTCACCGTGATTGGTCCATTGAGAGCTTGACCCTAATTTTCCACTTTCAACCCTGGTACTGTATTTAAAGGTGAAGCCCTGGCAGCCTGTCCAGCCCAACTGAGGTCAGGGCTGAGGAGAGCCAAGGCTGGACTTAAGGGTGTGATGTGCTTCAGCAGGTCAGATGTGGCAGTGCAGAAGGCCCTGAAGCAGCCCTGGGACTCTGATGGGAGCCACTGGAGGGCAGCCCACTGCTTGGCGCCTGCAGTGCCAGCCGGGTGCACTGTGGCCCTCTCTCCTGGGCAGGCCTCGCCAATGGGGTCTCTGTGGGCTGAGGAAACCACCACTGCAGCCCACTGGTAAAGCCCAGCACTGGCCTGCAGGCAGCATGTTGAGGCAGCAGTGGGCTCTTGTAACAGTGTCTCTCCTTGGCTTCTCTACTTGCCTTACAGGGATGCTTGTAGCATCCTCTCTCCTCGGCCATCTTCTCCTACGTCTTTGCACGTCTCTCCTTTGCATGTGTCTGTGCCATCATCTCTTCTTATAAGGACATAAGTCATATTAGGTTAGGACCAGCTCTTATGATCTCATTTGGATCGAATTATCTCTAAAGATCCTGTATCTAATATAGCTACATGCTGAGGTCTGAGGGATTAGAATATAAATATGAATTCAGGGTGGAGAGGGGACTCAATTTATCCCAGGACATATATTTTCCTTTCTCTTGGTTAAATATCTCAACATGGATTGCTGGGTCATAAGGCAAGCGTATGTTTATGAGAAGCTGTCACATTTCTAAGTGACTGTATTACAGAGCCTGACCTAACAACCTAAGAGTAGGTTGGTTAGCCCTCTAGGGGGAAAATTCACCAGAAAGCACTAGGTGTAGTAAAACCAAACGAGGTTTTAGTAGAGACTCATGCATGAAGGAGCTAGTGCTGCAAAGAATTAGCCTGGCTCCTCAAAGGGAGTTAGGAGGAGATATTTAAAGGGCAGGTGCATGAGGGAGGAGGAGACAGGCCACAGCTTGTTCTGGGTTTGGCTTCACCCAGACACACAAAGATGGTTGTACTCCAACCATCCACGTGGGTTCTTGCCTTCTCCCTCCAGGACACTCTGAAATAGTCATTAGTCAGGATCGAAAAAATCCAGTAACTGTACTTACTCCTTGGCATGTATTAAAAGGTGTTAACAAATTATGTCTACATAAAAACCTGCGCGTGATTGTTTTGGGCAGATTTATTCATAATTTCCCAGATGCCCCTGGGGACAACCAAGATGTGCTTTAACCCATTGCACCACCAGGTAGAGCCCTATTAACTGATTTTTTTTTAAGATTTATTTTATTTGTACATACAGAACTGAGGTACTGGCCAGAGGCTCAGGGGCGGTGAGAGGCTTCACCAGAGACAGAGCGGGGAGCAGAACAGCAGGTGAGTGGGTAAACAAACAGTGGGGCATCCCGATAATGAGCTATTCAGAACTGGGAAGAAATGCCCTGTCAAGCCATGGAAAGACATGGCAGAAACGTCAGTGCACATTCCTAGGTGAAAAGCTGCCTCCTGTGAGCGCAGCTCTAGGACTTTTCGGAAAGGCAAAGCAGTGAGGTGCTTGGTGGAGGCTGAGGGTGAGGTGGGAAGAGAGGGATGAATAGGTAGAGCACTGGGAATTTTTTT